GTTTAGGGTTTAGGGTTTCTGTGCCTGGCTGGCATCGTACAGTGGCACCAGGAGGATTTTGCCTTTGCAAAGGCTCAGAAGTTGGAGCTTTTGGTTTCACCAAGCTTGAAAAGTTTCTCTTCCGTGATGTAGGTGTCTTGGCTAGGGCGTGATAGTTTTGAACTCTAGGAACTTAGGGGTTTGGTCTAGTGAATGGGAGATTTGCTCGTAGCAAGCCCCAAACCCAAAACCTCGTAGCCCTAGGTCCTAAACTCTGAAAACTCAAAACCTTAAACCTCTTAGCCCTAAGCCCTGACCCTAAAAACACAAAGCCCGGAACCTTGTAGCCCTTAACCCTAAAGCCTAAACGGAAAGTCCAAGTGGGGAGACCAGACTTACAACAATAAGTCACATCATTATATTGGGGCCTATACTGGGCCCTGTAATCTGTGGAGCCTCCCCCTCCACATAAGGGTTTAGCAATTCCACAAGGGGAGTTCACTCAAGGGTTTGGGTTTAAGATCGGGCTTCGGCAGGGTGGGGCCTTAAACCTCGAACCTCGCCGTGGGGACTCGTTTGAAGTAGTAAGCCTACGTGCTATCCCCAACAACCCGTCTTAGAAAAACCTGTGCACCTTTCAAGGCTAAGTACTACATCAACAGAGCCTTCAAGTATACATTGCCCCCGACGCCCTAAACCCGATACCTGTTCAATCTAGCGGCCTAAGTATTTCCCAATATCTTTTTGAAGCCAGTTGCAGGGATCCTATATTAGGAAAATAGAAGGAATCTAAAACCATAATGTTGGTAATGATTTAGGCTCCTACACTGCCCTAGCAGAAACGCAAGTAGACTAGAATGTTGGGCAACTTCTCCCACTTTTCATGTATCGAAGCCAACGCTTTTGGGTAACTTGGACTTTTAGGTGCACCCCAACAAAACAGGGCTCGGGGGATCTGCATATACAATGCCGCGAAACGAACAGGATCATCTTGTCTGTTGAGAGCATGGAGGCAACCACTGCGCAACATCGATACATTGCAGGGACAAATCTCAGAATCACCCCGACAAAGCCGCGGAAACGGCCTCCTTTTAGAAAAAAAGGCTCTCCAATCACACCAAGAGCCCGCACAGCACCTCAACAACGGTTAGCCACTATACCTAAAACCCTAAGACCATGAGCCAAAACACTAGAAAGGCTACGGGTCCTCTTCCCCCAAGAGAGAGCACGCCCCAACAGAATGAGAAGTGTGGACCCCAGAGATGGCAGAAGGAGGGTTGATTTCTAGGGGTGCCACGGGGTTAGGGTGTAGGGTTGAAGGTTAAGGGTGTAGGATTTAGGGTTGAGGGTTTAGGGTTGAAAGCTTTAGGGGTTAGGGTTGAGGGTTCAGGGTTTTGGGCTCAAGATTGAGAGTTTAGGGCGGTAGAGAAGCCAAACCTTCAACTCCCAACCTTTTAGCCGCAACCCTACAACAGAACCTGAAGTCTGAAACCACCTGTCCTATGCCTTCCTCATTACTGGGTAGGTATTTTACCAAACACGAATGTTATGCACAGTAGGAATTATGGGAGACTAAAGGATAATATGTGTATTACCAAACACAATGTTATCTACAGTAAGAATTATGGGAGACTTAGAATAATGTTTGGCCATGACTCGGGTTTTTCGAAAATCCGACCTCCACACGCTGCCCCAGATTCAACTGAATATGCCCGAAAATTTAGGACCGCTCATGGATGCCACGGGAAATGAAGTCCCCCATCTAAGGGGACCCCATGAGGGAGTCCTCTTCTTGAGGCACAGCCACAGACGTGACACAGCAAAAACTTAGGTCCTAAGCCGAAGCCCTGAATCTTAGCCTGAACCCCGAAGGACTGAACAGTAAACTTCAACCCTGATTTACCCCCATTTAGTGTGGCGCTTGGCTCTATGATTTCAGCTGACGGGGGCCATTCATCTTCGGAAGACCCTGAAACCCAAAACCCTAAAGCCCTAAGCTTGAAACTCCATGCCCTACAACCGTAAACCCTCAGCTTAAAACCCTGGCCACACACTAAAAGCGCGACTAAGCCCTAAGTTCTTAAACCTTAAACCCCGAACCCTCAGTCCTAAACCCTAAAACCCTCAAACCCTAAACACCGCACCCTAAAATCCTAAGTAAGCCCAGGATCCTCAAACCCAGCCCCAAATTCCGAATCCTAAACCCAAACCCTGAAACCCTAAACCTATCACCCAAAAATGGAAGTCTGAGGTTCAAGTATGCCGGTAACCACGGCAGGAGTCCAGGGCATACCTCTCTGACACAGGGGAGGTCCCTAAAATTAGGGGGTTCCCTTTTGGTGGATATAGTTCAGGGCTTAAGGCTCATGCTTTAGCATTTACGTGATAAGCTTAAAGGTTTAGGATGTGGGGGGTTATTACCCCAAGAATGGAGAATCAAATGGAAACTGCAAAATTACATGCACCCTAAACCCTAAGCGGGCTTAGCATTTAGGCTCAATTTTTTGCATCCCCTGAAGAATATGGCCCTTAATGTCCAGGGAACCGAAAACGGGATCACAATGTCGACAACCTACATTCCCCCTTTAAGTAGATAGAATGTGGGATACATGGGAATCTTATTATAATATACCCCGAAACCATATTTTATCTACTTAAGGGGGACTACACTAAAAGGAGCCAAAGCGACCTTGGCTTCAGGGCTTAGGGTTCAAGGTCTAGGAGTTAGAGGCAACACAGGGATTGTGTGGGATGCATGGACCCTTGCATAAAATCACATAGAACCTCATATAGATCCCTTTTTACAGGTTGGGTGCGATGTTAGCTGGGGGGAAGGGGTTGTTAAAGTTTCGAGTTTTGAGATGCTACCGCCGAAACAAACAGGAGAACCCTGTAGGCCCACCTAAATATGCAGACAGCAGTCAGTACACGCCTTCATTTGCGGTTCCACATTAGTTTAGGGGGTAGCGTCGGGCTCACATAAATTTCGTGATTAAGCACTTGGAACCATCATCGCACCCAAAAGGAAACAATGTGTTCCGTGACCCCTAATTCTGACTAAACACCCCCCCCCCCCCAAACTCCACATGCGAAGACCCAACAAAACAGCCAGAGTTTCGACAATCGAGAATCCT